GATCAAATAAACCACTGCAAAAAAATAATAAAAGACGAAAGGAACTTTTTCTGGATCGCAGCTAAGAGCATCTATATAAATGTATCCGATTTTCCGTTAACAAACACCAAATAATAGCAACAGAAAGAGGGAATTATACTCACTCGCCAAAGGACTGAACACACTAAGTTAACACATGAACACCTAAAAAAAAATTGCACCGCCCGTCTGCAACCATTGTAACAATAACCCGTTAACATTCTGCATGAATATCACAGAAGCCCAAAGACAGAGACACGGAATAAATTTAAACATCAATCTAATCTTGCAAGACGACTTGCAAAAAGTATTAAAATACCTGAGACATAAACACTTACTCATACATCTAAAATTACCAAATCTCACCGTCATCGCTAATAATTTCGCAATCAATGCAACTCCAAAAAGAAAGAAAGATAATTTATATTAAATAAATAATGAAGTTTTGTTATTATTATAATATTGATAGATAAAGATAGTTTATGAAACAATTTTAATATTTTAATTAATAAGCATAATTTATGCTATTTGTCATATCTAGTTCATAATACTGCATAATTATCGTTAAAAATTTAATATGAATTTGAATATGTAATACAAGTAAATGAGGCAGTGTAATAATCTTAATATTTTAATATTAATAATAATTTTAAGAAATAGTTGAAAATTTAGTTATCTCAAATTATTTTTAAGAATGTTTTATAAAGTATAAACCATTTATACCCAAAACCATGTACTAATAACTTTATAATTTTAATTTAATATATTAAAAAACCCATCGTAAATCCGTAAAATATGGATAGGGTTCTTTGTAATATGTAATAGAATAATTTTTGTTAGTTACTCGCTTCATATTTCGGTATTGAAAATTTGATAACATTGTAGTGGATTTTGAACATCATGTTTTTGGCGCATTCATTACTTGATTAACTTCGATCGTTTTACTTGATATAATTCTCCAATTCACCGTAAAGCGTAGAGTGCAGTGAAAAAAAAAACTGATTTTTTGCAATGTCGGTATATTTCTGAGCATAGGACATAAAATTCCATAAGATGTAATATACTTTGTCTGTGCCGAATCATTAATTATTTTTAAACTTTAATCAGATTTATAACTAGAATGCGGAACTCATGGCCGCACGCCACAAGCAGATACTTCTTTCCTGATTCACTGAGGGACCTCTTCTATACCTACTAAACTCTAATGATCGCAACTGAAGGCCTATTTTTCTAATTATCACTATATTCGCACATATTAGCTAACGCTATTACGGCTACGAGTCGCCATAATATTCAAATGACATGAGATATAACGATACGAATTAATAGGACGTGTGTGTATATATATGTATACATATACTTATTTACACTTAATGTTGTTAATGTGAACGTGAACATTGTGGCATGTCACATTATTAACAATTTGTTGTATATCCACTTCAATGTTCGTTATTGATATTCTTAACATTGAAAACAACGAATTGTCCATTTATTTTAATCTATATTTATTTTTAATGTATTATGAAAATACACTTACATATCGAACCATTGACTAATAGCCTTAGTCAATAATCCTATTCTTACTTAATGATCGAACATGGTTCTATAGCCACAGACGAGATATATGAATATATATGAGTAAAAGAATTTTTCATATGTTTCGCATTTTTCGCTCGAGCTTAACCAAAATTATCCGATTCGACCCAAAGTATCGACTACCCGCATTTGAATCATTTGGGCAAATTTTTATTTAAATAATGAATAATAATTAAAAGTATAACTTTTATTTAAATAAAATTTAAATAGAATTAAATAAAATCATTTAGATGATACGAAAAATAACTTAATCCATATTTTTGATTTTTAAGAAAATGCTTATTTCGTATTTCAATTAAATAAAACAAAAATAATTTTTTTAAATTTTCATACCTGTTATATTGAATATGAAAAAACCAGATGACAAAGTCACGCAAATAATATCATCGCTTTTCATAAATATAATTTGTTGTATATTAATTCTCTTTTCGATGAAGAAATCTTCGTGATAGAAATATAAATATTGCATTTCAAAACAGTTACAAAAGTGCAATAATAAATATTAAAGCCAATCGGACGTATTATTAACGACATGAGCGTGCTATTCTATTATTTCATTCATTGTCAGTGCTTCTATTTCTATTCTTTCATTTATTATCGCTGCGTTATGAATAGGAGAACTAAGATGAAAGAAAGGCATGCTGCGTAGTGAATTATTTTTTAATTAATAAAAGTTGAATTGTCTTCAAATATTTGATAAACAACAAAATGAGAAAGAACAAATTTTAAAAATAAAAAAATTTGTATTATTTATTTATTTGTTATAAAGTTCTATAAAAAAATAAATAAATATGTATTTTAAGAAATAAAATATGAATTTGTTAAAAATTAATATTTAGTTATAAATGTTATAAAGTTTTGTTACAAATAATAATAAAAAAAATTTTTTAAAATTAAAAATCCTTTTCCTGATTTTAAATTTAAAATATTATGTTTTTTATATTTTCATTTCCTTACGAATAGAACAATATTAGACTTAATAAAATCCTCTTAGAATGCATTTCAGCAAGTATGTATTGAATAAGAAATCTGAAACTTGAGTTCCTTTAAAAACTTTCTTAGGAATTCGTCACGCTATGAACCGTCTTCAGGCTCGGAAAAATGCAACCGTCTTCAAGAATGAAAATACGAATCAGAAAAAGATATATGCATGTATTTTTACATCAAGCAGCTACGCGTAAAAAATCTATCTCGTTCTAATAATGTTTTGTGAAATTGTAAAATATAAGTTTAATCTTGATCTGCTATCTCTACATTTAGTCTTGATCTGCAAAAATATAATTTGCACCACATAATGCGCTCTTTTATACCATATTTAGCAAACACATTCAACATAGATCGATTTTGCGAGATATATAAAGATGTACTGCGTAGATATATTTATATTTTTCATTAAATCTTCGTGAAATATTAAAGATTTTTAAATAAATGACAAATAAACGATTAATTTTCGCCTAATAGTAAAAGCCTACTATTCGAAGCCAAAGAAATGTCACTCGAATCCAAAAGAAAGTTCCTAACTCTCAAATACGCACTAAAAGTCTCATCCACTCCAAATAATCCTTCCTACATCTTCTCCAAACTTCCTACAACAACAAACCCAAAATTCCTTCTCCCTTCCATGTCAGCACACAGCAAGATTTATACTCATGGATCAAAAACGGACACTGGAACTGGATACGCCATTATCACTTAAAAAACAAAAAAAAAACACAAAATCTTCCCTCTTTATCATCCATCTTCACAGCCGAAACTTATGCTATCCTGGAAGCCGTCAAATATGCACACTCAAATAACGAAGCCCAGATTGTCATTTACACCGAGCGTTACAAAATCTCTAACGAAATCATACAATCAAGATAACCAATTAATATCCACCATCCAAGAACTAAACCACAACCAACCTAACACAAACGCCACAGTCATCTGGATTCCAGCTCATCAAGGTATAGAAGGAAATGAAAAAGCCGGCGCAGCAGCAAAAGAAGTCACTTATTAATAATCGCAATCATCTTCCAATCCCTTGCGACGACCAAATAATCCACTGCAAAAAAGTAGCAAAAAATGAATGGAACAATACATGGAAAACAACCAAAAGCACCCAACTACACAAAAGTATCCAAGACTTTCACCAGCAAACACCAAACCTTACCAACAGGAAAGAAGGAATAATTATCTCACGCCTAAGAACCGGCCATACCAAGCTGACACATGAACACAAAATCAAAAATACTTCACCACTCATCTGCACTCATTGCAATAACCATCCACTAACAACACAAAACCCACATACTGCACGAATGACCACACCACAGAAATCCAAAGACAGAAATACGAAATCAACGCAAACATAAACCTGACTTTTCAAAATGACGTACAAAGAGTACTAAAATACCTCAAAAACAAACTACTACACTCATATCTAATGGCACCGTCATCGCTAATGACCTCGCTGTCGATGCGACATTAAAGAAAAAAATAGAAGAAGAAGAAGAAGACAAATAAACATTTTGTTAACAGACATAAACAGACATTTTGTTATTATTATAATATTGATAGGCAAAGTAGTTTGTAGAAAAATTTCGAATAATATTTCAATTATTAAGCGTAATTTTTAACTAATGAATTATATAGAATTTGTGTTAACTAATTTGTCATAACCAATGCATTGCATAATTATAATAAAAGTGTTAAAAATTTAACAACAATTTGATAATTTAATATTAATAATAATTTAAAATAGTTGAAAATTTAGTTAGTTAAAAATTATTTTTAAGAATATTTAACTTTTAAAATATAAATTATTTATACCTAAAATCATGTGTTAATAATTTAAAAATTTTAGTTTACTACATATTTAAAGTCGTGATAAATCCGTAAAATGGCTAGAGCTCTTCTGACATATGTAAAATGATTTCGGTTAGTTACTAACTTTACATTTCGGTATTATAAAAATTTGACAACACTGTAATGAGTTTAAAAAATCATATTCTGGCGCATTCACTACCTGATCAACCTCAATCGTTTTACTTGATGTAATTTCCCAACTAACCGTTGTTTAAACATAAAGTGCGTATATCAGTATTTCAGGTCATGGGCCACAAAAGTTCGTAAGATGTAATGTTTATTCATATACCTCGTCTGTGGCTATAGTTATGGATGCATACGATATATCGATCGATAATCGATTGGATTCGCCGTCTAACGACAATAAGAGAAATAAAAGGAGATTAAAAAGATAACCGGTTTAACTCTTTTTTTTCTAAGAGATCAATTTGTTGATGTTATAATAAATTTTATAAATTTATATAATAAGTATATTTTAATATAACCACGGATATATAATATTCATTGAAAATTAGGCCACATTAAACTCCTAAATTTTCTGATATCAGTTATTTATTTTTTTAAATTTTTTTAAATTCATAATGTTATAAATATATGCATAATCTGCTGCTTCGTATTACAATAGATAATATTTCAGTGATTTTTATTGAATAAAGCTATCTTTAATTCAACATTGCGATCAGAAGTCTTTTCCACTCAGCAGTACAGTCACTCTGGAAAAAAAAAATACTAGTGTTTTTGTTTTACAGTGTACAGTAAAAAATTGTTTGTGAACGTGGAAATTTATTGCAAACGGAATATATATTACAATTATGCATATTATTAAAGATGCACATTATTAACATCAGTGTTAGAGATGCCTATGTTCTTTTTTAATTATAATGTTTTAACTATAATTAATATAAATACAGATTCCTTTCCATGATTTTCTTTAATTTACAAGTGCAATCAGAAGCCGCTTAAACTCTTCGCTGCAGTCACTCTGTAAATGCAAACAGAATGTAGGAAGGATTAAAGCAATGTTAAATAATAAGCATAAAATAATATTATATTTATGTAGAGATTCAAAGTACATGTATGCATGCATATTATGAAAGCGAATTTTAATCAATAAAATTAGTTAACTGACACATAAATTACTTTATTAATTAACAAGTTCCGAGATGTAATTTTTAACAACATAAAACAAACTATTCATTTATTTTCACTCTTCATTTTAGTGCAAATAAACTAATTTTACGAGCAAACTAATGTAATAATATATAATCAACAAAGTCAAATAAAAACGAGCCATAGTACATAGTACCGTAATCTCTGTAAATTATTGATGTAATTTAGAACAAATTAAAATTAAAATAACTATACAGCTTCGCGGAATGTTGCGAAGAAAAGTATATTCCTGGTATTAAAGTAAGATACAAAAACAAAAAGAATTGTTGAACATGAAAATGCTTTCATCCAAGTAGAGCAAGCAAGAGTCTCTTGTAATCTCCTGAACAGTCATCCTGAAATTTATGGAAAATTATGGGCAGCCCAGGTACAACAAAGTAATTAATTAGTTAAATAAGTGATTTATGAAAAATTAAGACATATATGTTTATTGTGCATTATTATTTCCGTGAAGATAAAGTGTATAAATGTTTCTGTATACATAATAATTTTTATGATTTTTATAATTTTATCAATACAATTGTTTTTAGTTACTATTTAAAAATTTTAGAAAGTATAGTTTGATATCATAGTCTGTATCATTGATTAACATTGAATATGTTTTTAAGTATATTTCGTAATAAAAATTTTATTTTCTTACATAGAAAAGTGATGGATATTACAGAACCATTTTTACAAAAATATCCAGTATGTAAGATAAAAAAATCAAACTTTTCTGACTTACGTCAATATCACCTGCAAGCGACTGTCCATAAATTTTTTGATAAGTATCTTTAATGTCTCCTAAATCAATTTCTGATCGTGCTACGATTATGCGTATCAATGTCGTATCATCTGTGCCTAATCCACGCATTGCTTTGTATAATCTCTCCGCAAAATATGCTGTTTTTTCTCGTGCACATTTCACTGAAATAAACAAATCTAAATTAATTTACTACTATATTTATTATCCTTATATATACATTACATTTTTTAACAGTCACGAAAAAAATCTTCATGAAAGACAATGAAAAAAAATTGCTTAGTGTTATATTGTAACGAAATTACAAATGTTTAAAATTTAAATTCAAACCGATACAAATAAACGATGTGCAATAGATACGAGCGATTTCTCATTACTAATGTTACGGCGTCAACGAATATATTTATAAATGACATCAGTAACTGATGTGCATAAGTACATATATGTGTATAAAAAAAGGAAAAATCTTTGCACATTAATTATAAATAATTTGAAAAAATAGCAGAAGATACTATAGTATTCATAAAAATAAAAGAGAATAGAAAAAAATTTTTTATATAACCAAAATTATTTTTATATAACCAATCGTTAAATAAATTAACAGCGAATTTAAATAAACGAAATTAAATTAAGTTTCAACGAAAATATTAATTTATGGTACGTAAAAACATATTAGTATAATATTTGTTCAAAATATTATATATATTACATATTTATTAATATCAGTAGAAAAATAACATATTACACTGGAACGGAAGAAAAATAAAAAAGTTAATATTAATTAAACTGAGTACTAATAACAAATGCGGTTCGTTTAAAAGGAACGGTTTAAGATAAATTATCCTATATGATAGCGTTTTATAAGAATATTTATTTGTATAAAATAATTCACAAACAAAAATTTCAACGGCAAATTTGCACTTATCAAAATAGATTCTTCTTCGTCGCGAATAAAATGCTGCTGTTTGGTGGCAAAGCAATATATTATTTTACATAGATCAATTTGTCAGAGCTAACGATCTGAGAAAACATTAATGGTTTGCCAGATTGCTTGTTTTGTCCACAATTTTCTTTTCTTTTCTATAAATACATTTTGCAAAATCAAAAAATATATTTTCAGGAAGATATTATGACAGAGATTCATTTAGTTTTCTTTAGAGATACATTCATTTTTCCTCAAACACTACATAATATATTACTAAATAACAAGATGTTTTTAATCTATTTATCTATAAGACTGAATGCAAGATGTGCAAATTTTCACTAAATGAAAAAATAAAATAGTTTTCTAATAAAGGAAAATATATTTTGTTGTATATATATAATATACGTATACAGGGTGTGTTCCAGTTTTTTCCGGCATAACTTTGTCAGCGTGTTCTACAAGCAAAAGTAAGAAAAAAATGTTATATGAACATATGCTCTTAAATGTTTTATTAAGGAGTTATATAACACAAAATGATAATGAACTGACGTTTCGTCGACACAGTGTACGAACGTATCATCAGTGTTACAAAAAACTCACTCATTACAATCATAATCTCATTGAAGTTCTGTGTTTACTAACAAAACTAAATCCAACAAAATAAGCAAAATAACAGTAGACCTTAATGTAATAACATTTCAAAATGATGTCCGTTATTACAATTACAAGATTGGCATCTAACAAAAATTGACTTTATTGCATTATTAATGTCTTCTTCATTTTCTCTAATCGCAGCAAATACGTCATTAGTCCTCTGTATTAACTACTCACGAGTGTTAATTTATAAACTTTTACTTTCACAACTCCCCACACGTAAAAACCCATTGGCATGATATCTGGTGATCTTGGAGACCATGAGAGACTGGTCCTCCATCGTTGTGGATAATGGTCATTTATCCATTGCCGTACTGGTACTGCGTAATGTATTGGACAACCGTCTAATTGAATCCATAAGTTTTGTCGAAGTAATAATGGAATATCTCCTTCTACTTCTGTCTCAAATTCGTTTTTCAAAGAAATTTTTATGTAAACACAAATAGAATATTCATAATACGTTCTTACGTTATGTTGACGAAATGTCAATTCATTATCATTTTGTATTATTAGTTATAAATCCTTAATAAAACATTTAAGAGCATATGTTCATATAACATTTTTTTCTTACTTTTGCTTCCATAATACGCTGGCAAAATTATGCCGGAAAAAACTGGACACCCTGTATATAAGATCATATAATACAACATATATATATTTTTATTATGAAAGAATATATATATTCTTCCAAATAAAAATGAAATTTTAATTTCTTATGAAAATTAATATATATTTCTTACCAACTGCAAGATAACCGTCTTCAAGAGAGCCTGAAAATTCTCTCTTAATAGCATCTTCTAAATTGTTGCCAGCAAGACGTTCATATTCCTCAAAAATTCTTCGTAACTGAGGATAACTTTTAGTAATGAGAATAGCATTAAAAGTACTTTCGTCTGTTCCCCATTGTCCTTCGCCAGCTTCAAGCAATCTTTCAGCATCCTGAATTGCAGCCTGTTCATCAACATCAGGATTTTCATTTCTGTTGGCCTATAAAATAATTCAAAAATAATTTATTAGTTATATATTTTAAATAAGAATAACAATAAAAATAATATAAAACATATTAAAAATAAAATATGAATAAAATATATTAACATAATTGCAATATCGCATATATATAATTTAGATTAAAGTTTAAATTTAGATTTAAATTAACTGTCAGTAATTGAAACAGATATTTTGACATACTTGATCAAAAAACAAATATCAAATATGTTTGTAATAAAATTATATTGTATTATTAAACATATTTTACAAAAGTAAAGGAAATGAAAATATTTTGTTGTTTGCATATTTCATGTCTGTAATATATATTTTGTTCTAATTTATTATGATAGCCATATTTATATATTTTTTAATTATTTAATATAAAAAACGGGAACAAATGTAAAAAAACATAAGAAGTCTTGCAATTATGCATTAAATTTATATTTATATTATATTTATTATACTATACTATACTAATATTTATATTATAATAGAAATTCATTTTTCTCATTTTAAATTTTTAATGTGTTATCTTTTTCAACCAATGACTATGTATTATTTATAGTGAAATATACTAATATTTTTTACTGACTATTTTTTTTGAAAATGATTGATAATATAGGATGTTTAAATACATCATTTCCTTTAGAAATCTAAATTATTGATTTTCACACATATAATTTTAAAAAATTGAAAGAATATTACTGGATAAAATAAATAAAAATACATATAAGAATACATATAATAAAAAAACAATTTTATAAGTTTAAAATAATTAATTTGAAGCAATTCTATAATTAAAACATTATTACAAAATTATTCGGTAAAAAATTTACTTACGCACGAAAGTGAAACTAGGAGTCTCTTAAAATGGCCAGAAGTATCGCTTTTTAAATCATCCTCCAAATTTTTTTCATACACTGTAAGTATGTATATATAAAACTTATAATATATTACATTTTTAATAAAAATATTTATGAATTATGTTTGTTGATGATTATGTTTATGTAGTAAGAATATTTAAATAATACAATAAAAATATATAATTGCAAGATGATTAAATAATTTTTGTTAAAAATTAAAGACATGTCAATTTTAGGCAGGTAATCATTTTTAAATACAAAAATGTACAAATTTTGTAAAATTTTTATAATCTTATATCTTCAATAGAAACAAAAATTCAAAAATATGTAGTTAAAAATATGTTATGTATATAATACTATGTATTTATTAAATTAGTATTTATTAAAAAGAGATTATTAATTGAAATGGAATTTATATATATATATATATATATATATACATATATATATATATATATATATATATATACGAATTATATACATACATTTTTTTTTTCTTTATTTAATAGAGAATTAAGTAATTAATATGTATATACTTAATACACACAGAATAAAATTATAAATGATATTTATATAAATACATAGTGCAATAATGGAATCTTCAAACTGATACTTTGATTATACACAATCTTTTTTATAAAATTTAAAAAATAATCAATTAGTACATAATTATATTTGTATTTACATCATAACAAATAATTTTTAGAAGGTATTTGCTTAAAAATATTTTACATAAAACATATTATTCAATATCAAAAGAAACATATTGCATATATTTTTAAAGTTTGTTTATAATGATCTAGAATGTTTTAAACGATATGAATAGAAATTTAAATAATAAATAATAATGATTCTTCTGCCAGAAAAAAATTTTATAGTATTTTAATTTAGCAATTATCTAAAATATTTGCAATAACGTTGTTGTTAATAAAATTTAAATATTTAAATATTTGTACTTACTTCAAAAATCATTTAAATAAATAGAAACTTACGTTCTTTATAGACAGCAGATATGGTTTTAATGCCATAATTGCTAAGAGACGCCAACACTTCAATGAGAGCACCTTCGTCTGTACCCATTCCAGAAATTGCATTATAAAGTTCTTTAGCGTAAAATTCTGGTAATGGTGTCATTAATGCTAAAATTGCTTTTTCAAAATTACCACCAAGTTCCGATTTCAATTCGGAAATTAGATCTTTTCCATACATAGTTTTAAATTTATCAGCTATTTCAAGTCGTTGTACAATACCACGATGAGCAAGAACATCGATTACTGTCTGTTCATCAGTGCCAAATCCCTTCATGGCGGTTCGAAGAAGAGCTGCATCTTCTTCTGGATTGAAAGGATCAGCAGGATAAACAGTTGGTGTGCACTAAAGGAATAAAATAAAATAATAAATACATACAGATATGTTAGCATTTATATAAGTGTAAAAGTTTTCAGCCAATTTAACTAATAGTGTATGTTATTACAAATGAGAAGATACAGCATAATACATGGGCACTTCTTATTTTATATCTACTTATTTATAACTCTATTCAAATAATATATTTTTTTATAATATTAGTTTTAATATAAGTGTAGCTATATTTTTTGCAATTGCAATCGATTAAATCTTAAAATAAGTCCAGAAATATATTTATTCCATTCCTTTTTTATACCTCCAAATACAGTAAGATCTCGATTAATTCATTTCATTAGTACCAAAAAAAATAGGAGATGAACTGGATAATTGAGACTTAAAGTAAATAATAAAACGCCAACTTATACATAATCTCATTTTGTATCTTTCGAACTCAAATACAACAATAAAGACTATGATAATCGAATTTTCCTATGCTTAATTTATTACAGAGTCAAACGTTTAAATAAAATAAAACTACCAAATATATTCATAATGAAAAATATGATATATGTATAATATCTTATGTTGGTTTTGATAACAACAAAATTTGTAGATTCTTCATTCATTTATTGCAAATGAATGAATTTGTTAATTCAGCTATTATTCTGTAAGCCTCCCATTTTACAGCTTTTAGTTCTCTGACATTAGATCTATTTTGTATTTTTTACTTAATCTAATAGGGAAAAATAATAAACAAAAATGAAGAATAAAAAAAATTGTTTTTGAATTTTTATATAATTCTTACTTGCATTCAAGTATCAAAAATATCCTTGAACAAGATGTTCTACACGAGTTAAATATATATATGTATTAAAAGGAGGACAGCACAGGAATTTACAAGGTCAATGGCACATCCAATCATCCATTTCACACAAATCTTAGAAAAAATTAATTAATAATCTTTAATAATCTTCAATAATTTTTAATAATTTAAAAAGATTAATTAAATATTCAGCTTATTTACAGAAATCCACAAAAATATATAGTGAAAAATAAGCTATATGGGATAACACGAGGTACACAAATGTAACATATATGTATATATACCATTGGATTGTCCGACTTTGACGAGATAGCATTAGAACATGTATAAATATATCAATGTTATTGAGAGCACATTATTTGTGTACATAGTCTTAAAGGAGACATTTCAACGTATCTTAGAAAAAAAGTTGTTTGAGATAAATTGATTTGAGTCAGTTTTATACCCTTCTGAAGATGGAAGAAAACAAAGTGCATTTTAGACATTTAATGCTTTTCTATTACCGGAAAGGAAAAAATGCAACAAGTAACACAACACAAATAAAATATGTGCTGTTTAGGGAGAAAGTGCTTTAGTTGAAAGAACTATTCGCAAGTAGTTCGCTAAATTTAGAGCTAATGATTTCGACCTTAAAGATCAAGAACATTCGAGAAAACCATCCAATGCTGATGACTAAATCAAAACAAAAAAATTGAGAATAGTCAACGCTACACGACATGTGAATTAGTAAAGATACTAAAAATATCGAAAACCACCGTCCACGAACACTTAGTGAAGCTTGATTACGCAAAACACTACGATGGGTTTCGCACAATTTGACTGAGGAAAATTTAATGGAGCATTGTTATATAAACATGCCGTTTTTTAAGCAATTAGTGACGGGCAACAAAAAATGGATTGTTTATAATAATGTTGAACGAAAAAATTCCTGGAGTAAGCGATTAGCTACCCCAAAGCCGGGCTTCATCCGAAAAAAATCATGCTTCGTATCTGGTTGGATTGGAAAAGAATCCTATCAATAGGATTATGAAATCCTATCAAACCAGTTGATAAATTCAAATAAGTACTGCTCGCAATTGGACGAATTAGAATCAATATTCAGAAAAAACGTTCAGAATTAGTTAATAGGAAGGGTGTCGTCCATCAGGATAATGCCAGATCTCATGTCTCTTGGACTATCCGACAAAAATTGTTGAAGTTTGGTTGGGATGTGCTGCTCCACCTGCGATATTTACCAGATATTGCACCCTCAAATTTTCACTATTCGGGTCTTTGCAAAATTCTCTTAGCAGTAAAAACTTTAATTCTTTGATCAATATAAAAAAAAATCACCTTGAGAAGTTTTTTAATGAAAAACCTGAGAAATTCTGGAAGAATGAAACCTTCAAATTGCATAAAAGAAGGAGAAAGTTTATAGAACAAAATGGTGAATATATAATTGAATAAATAAACATCGACACATCAAGATATTACCTTCGAATTTTCCTTAAAAATCGACAATTTTCCGGACAACTCAATATATTATGAATAATATACAAATTACTGAAAAATGTAATATAATTCACACATACACTTATACAATTATACAATAAAATATGAGAAAACAAATAAAAACTAAATAATTATAAAAAATATAAATTAAATTGGCATTAAAACTACAATTAATTAAAAATTAAAAATAAATAATATATGATTAAAAAACAAGTTTTAGTTATCACGTTGAACAAATGTTTTTTATGTTTTGCTTTCATTGTCAAAATGATTTTGTTTTTAGAAAACTGTTTATTTTAAAAACTAAACAGTTTCGATGATTTTTAATATTCTTTTTTGAACTTCTGTAATAAATAGTTTTAATATTTAATACATAATTTTTTTTTAAATTCAAAACTGTTTATAATACTAATGACTTGTACAAAGTGAATGATTTGCTTTAAATTCCATTTGTATAAAAAATTTTGCTTCAGAAATATTGTTATAGATTTCTAAATGTCAATAATAAATAAAATATCAAACGCAATTTTTCTACTTTTTCTCTCGCAAATATTTACTTTTTAATTTATACAAGCATACTTTAAATTGTTTACCAAATGATCGAAACTTTCCATTCATAGAAAAAATTTTATTACGAAAAAAATAATTTTTATAACATATTTGACGTTTATTATAATTTTGACAAAAATCAGTTAAACAAATTAATGTTTTCATCAAAAAAAGTCATTGCAAGAATTACCTATTATTTGCAATCTAAAAGTAAAATAAAAAAACTAAGAGTATATGTTTTAGATACATACAATATCGGTCCAAAATTTAGGTATGCTTTAGTGTATTTGTATTTCATACTTAAATAATTTACGAAAAATGATCCATCTCCATTTGTTAATATGTTGTCAAGTTCATCATAGAGTAGTGAAAATATTAGATGGCGATCATTGTTTGATCAAAAAATTATTGTCAAAAATAATTTACTCAAAGGTACATAATTTTTTGAACAATATATAATACATATGAAATAAAAATACGGGCGGAGCTTTTTTCCTCCGCACCGCAATTTCATACAAAATCTAATTCAACTCAAATTCTATTCAACTACAAATTCTATTTCTAGATAAATTATGATTAGATTTTGGTTGAGTTATATTCATCCTGGGCAATGAGTGCAGTTATCGCTCACGTTTGTATAAAATAATGTTGTGCTTATAAAATAATAAAATGTTAATAATTATAAATTTCTCAATTCTATATTATCACATTTACTTTCTCATGAATAACATTTCTTCTCGTACAAATAGTTATACTTTGTTATTTTGTTATCAAAGCCAGAGATTCATAAAATTTGAAAATTTTATTTTGAAATAGTAAAATTAATTACAATATTCCGATATGCCAAGTGCTGTATTTCGTAAGAAGATATCAACAGCATAGATTTCAGTAAGAAAAGTAAACAAACATTATATTATACATATAACTAAAGAATATGATCAAGTATTCCTTCTGAATTTAAAATTATATATCTTTGAATAAATTTTTTTTGACAACTTTTTAACGGTCGCCATCTAACACCTTTACTTAGAATGATGACATCAGCAATATATTTCTAAACAAAATAACAAAAAAATTGTAGAAAGCAGATGTGACCTTTTTTTATTAATAATTACTTCATTATATATTTCACACATAGAATATATATCCAAACTTTCCAACTGTAGTGTCGTGTGTTCTTAAAATACTTATAAATCAAATACCTTCAAAAATTCCTTATACATTACAAAATAATCTAAAATTAGAAGTTAAAATTAAAATTAAGCAAATTATAATATATACATTTTTTATGATAAAATGCAAAATATTTAATTTTATTGTTAGACATTATATAGTAGATATTATATAATATAATATAAAATCTGCATAAAAATTACAATAATTTAAAATTCTTAATCAGACTCCGAATACATATATCAAGTAAAAAGTTTTTAGTAGTTACCTGCACATGATAGTACTGACTAGCCGTCATTATTTGGTTCAGCTAAAAAATACATTACAATAATATATTAAAAAAATATATAAGATATAAAAATATATTAAATAATGAAATTTTGAAACTTTTATTTCATGAAAAATTTGCGCAATTAAAATTAATTTTACAAATACTTTATCAAAAACAATTAATATGTAGTGAGAATATTAATACTAGATAAAGTAAACTAGAAAAGATAAAACATTATTTAATTAATAAAATTAAATAATTTAATTTTATTAATTTAAATTATTTTATTTTATTTAAAGAGCAAATGTAACAATTTCATATTTATTTAATCTATTTAAAATGTAAATATTAAAAATAAAACAATTAAAAACACAATCAGTATTAAAATACAGTGAAAAATCTAAGAATATAATATTATAGGAAATAAAAAAATCTATCAATGACGTAATATTTACAACAAAATAGAAATTTTATATAATATATTTGTATAAAAAATCTTTAATTCCACTAATTAAATCGTACGTATGCAATCATAAATTATTTATAAATTATTTATATAATTACTTATACAAATATTAAATATCTTCTTATAAGTATAAATATAATTTACTTATAAAACTTGTACATTAACAAACAATACTTTAATGTAAATATGTGAATATATATTATAATATATTACATACTAGAATATCTATTATAAGAGCACCTTTCAATTATTATATATTAATTTTAACATTTGAATGTCATAAGTAAGAATTTATTAAAACATAATATTCAATGGAGTTTTGATTAAAGAATATATCTATATATCATAATTTCATTATCTATCTAATAATAAGATTATCAAAACTACATAAAATATTTGAAAAAAGCAACATTTAAATATGTAATATAATCTTTAATACAAGTTAATCTTAATTAATCTTAAACAGAATCAAAATATTTAATATTATTCATAGAATAAATTTTCTATTTCAATAATCTTGTTATTTTTTATTAAATGTAAGAACTATTTTTACAGCACTGCGATTATTAAAATCAATGATGACCTCAGATAAATATGTTTGAAAACTACCAATTAATCTTGCTTGAAATACACATATACGAAGAATGCCAGCCAAAACGCTATCGTAATGAAGTTCTAAAGATTATATTGATTGGTATCTATAAACAAGTATTTAGGGTGTGGCTTTTACCTTCTTTTGAAACAGTTGTAGATCTATTCAATCTTACTAGCGTAACAGTACGGATTCCGTTCAGCTCTCTTACTTGTAACCAACTGAAACAGTCACTCGTCACGGATATTCTTTGTAGGAATGGTGGGAGAACGTATGCATTTACTACTATAGGATATAAGATTTGCCGATGACTCATCGCAGAATTTATACAAAAAATGTACTATTAAACATTGAAAAACTACACGTAAATGTGTAGTAATTAAGAAATCCTTTTAACATGTTTTTACAATGATTATTTACATGTAATACATAAAAAATAATTGTAATTATTAAGGATATATGTATCAATTTTAATAGTTTAAATTTAATGTGTGTGTGTATATATAATTGCTGACTTCTATATTTTGATTTTATTTTTAATATATAGTTTTGTAGACTTATTATTTGTTTAACGTTATATTTCATTATATAATAATATTTTCACAGAGTTGCTCTTTTCTATCAATAAATAAAATAACACAATATAAAACGGAGAATCTTCGATCAATAAAAGTAATAATTTTATAGTACATAAATTTCTTTATGTAATTTAAATAAATTATTCATTTGTTATTTAGATTTAAAATTTTCATATCATATTTAATATGGAAACGCATCTTTTAAAAGAAAAAGATACTGTACATTTATTAATTAACTAAAAAATAATGTATGATCCTACTTATTTTATTTGTTAGACATATAAAGTTCTTTTATTTTATTAGATCCGTTTAATTTGTTAACAATAATTTAAACAAAACAAATTGTAATATTACAATACAATTTTATACAATTGAAACCTCACTGCAATAAATGGGATATTATGATATTAATTTACTTTTGGTAAATTATTCGCAAATATATATATATATATATATAACACACACATACATAATTTTTTCATATAAAAAAGTATCATTCTCATATTGATTATAATTAATATTAATATTACAAGTTCTTTCGTTTTATTTTCTCGCATTATGTAACAGAATTTTATATTTACCTTTAATACTATTAATATTGTTAATTACAACAATTAAAGAAACTATATCTTAAATTTCTTTGACAAGTAATAACAATTAAATGTAAATTTCGCGTTTCTTTTCAAAAACACTAAACACAATTTTCGTATCACTATCACTGATTTTAAAAAATAATTGAATAATTATTAGAAATAGTAAGCTTCTTGATACGTACGTCGCGTACAGTGTCTGAAAGGAACAATTTTACAATGGAAGAACCGAGAAGAGAATTGGTGGGAGAATCTACGTATATATATTCGTTGACGTAACACATAAAGAATGCTATAGACTGACAATGAGTAACAAGGAAAGATATGAGAACTACCGTTCACCATACAAAATTCTCAAGAAACAAGATTGAATGATTCATCGCATAATGTTACGTTATATTACATACATATCTATACCAAGTTCTTTGAACAGTGAAAAAACAATTTTAATTTGCTAGATAAAAATTATAATAATTATATATGATGTAAATTGACGCGTAATGAAATCATTTACTTCATTATTAACTATTTATATCTTTTTATTAATATTATTTTATTGATGTAATTTAGAGGTAAAATTATTTATTTAATTTTTTAATAAACGAATTTTAAATTATATTTGAAATCTGTATATAAAACGTATAAAATTTATATTTGAATACGTCAAAATCTGACAAAATTGAAACTCTGAATAAAATGTTTCAATTTTATTTGCAGAAACTTAATAATTATGTACAAACTAAAATATGTACAATAATCTGTTTTATATACATAAAAAATATTATCAAATAATTATTTATTATATCAGTGTTATTATAGTCTTCAATGAAATTGATATAAGCAGCAAATTATTGAAAAATAATTATAAATTTTTATAAATTTTTATTAAGAATTCATCATTTATTAAGTTGGAGTATTTAAATTATTATCTTAATCAATTAATTTATCTTTCTCAACATTAAGAATTTAAAATTGTAATACCAAATAGCATTTTTTACTTGCATTTTTATTTGATAATAAATTTACATGATAATAAATTTTCTAAGTGACTATTATCAAGTTAAAGAACATAATTTTTAATTATATTTTATGATAATTTTATGAAATTTTGCAAATTAATTAATTTATAATTACATAGTAAGTACATATATATGTATATATACACATACATTAGTCGTACGATATATGTATACCATTCATAGCTACTACGTGACTCGATATACTTATGAATATTAAGAGCATATATAAAGTTCATAATAAATCGAGACTATACATCGATCACGCGTAATGGTATTATAGTTAGAAATTACCAAGCATACATTTAAAATTGTACACAATAAATGATAAATATCTAATTTTGTAATTATAGAAATTATCAAGCATACATTTAAAATTGTATATAATAAATGATAAATGATAAATATCTAATTTTTTTGTAATTATAATTATTTTTGCAAAATATTGTACTTACTGTATACATAAAATCAATACAGTTTTATTTTTTTAAATAAAATATTTTATAAACTTCTAAAATATTCTAGAAAATTTCATCTTAAAACCCTATCATAAAACAAGCAGATTTTAAATATTTCGTAAAAATTACGCAATATTATTTTAGATTTGAAATACTATATATAAAATTTGTAGTAAATATTATTGCAATCCATATATATACATATATAGCATTAACTATTTCTACAATCCATCATATTCAAAAAGTATATCTTGAGAAGGAAGAGTTCTTAAATCTATATTTATATGATCTTTTTTCTTTCTTGGCAACAATAAAGTACAATACCAAAACTTGATCAACTATTTCTTTAACATCCTTATGCTGCAAATACTTTTTTACATCTCGTATATTTTACCATATAAGCTATATTTATGTATAACAATGTATTTTGTATCATTTGAAATTATTAAGAAAACAATAATACATAATATCTATATAATAATAATACATAAATATCTTTTTTATATAAAATTATAATATAATTTTGGATAGAATGTTTCAACGCAATAATAAAGAAAAAAGACTAATTCAAAATAATATTACTAACTAATTTATTACCTATAAACATACTATATATTATACTTGTAACATATTTATCACATAATTTTGATTATATTGACACAACGTATTTCATTTAAACTTTTTGTGAATGATTTAGATTTATAGATTATTTAAATTTATATAATTCTAAAAACTTCAATTACATTATATCCTTGTTTAAGCTATTATTTCCAATAAAATATAAAGTATGAATGAATAATAAATTCCATATCATATTGTTTATAATAAAACATTTATTGAAATTCTTGACTTACTTCTATAACACACTAATGTTGTACCTTGTCCAAAATTTTCCAAGAATTAATATTAAATGTTTAAATTTCAAGTATTTTTTCCTATATATTTTCCTTCTATTTTAATTCCATTTTTGACAATATTTGTCTATTGTAATCTATCCATGTATCAAAATTTATATTTTTATTCAAATTATTTATTTTTATCTGATATTTTATTATTCTTAGAAGCAAATCATTCCATTATACAGTTAATTATACATATTTTGGATTTAAGTTTTATTACACTATGAATAATTGCATTATCCATAATATTATTTGAAAAAATAATAATAAAAATATAACATTTTTACATACATACATGTACATATGATTTATATACATATTCTGAGCTATTTAGATCTATTTCTAATATTTTTTGGAAATTTTTTTTATTTTCTTTATTAATTTTTCTCTTTCTATATCTATATATATATTCATTATCAACAATAAAGCTAGTATATAGTATAGCATTTTCGTTAATCTGTATTTTTAGTTAAATATATGTACATATATTTAATAATACAATAGACATAATAATAACACATACAAAGTGATTTAAAAGGTTCATTTCCAAAGATAAACTATAAGTTAAAAGTTAATTTCCCAAGATAAACAATTTTATTTGAAGTAAAATAATTTTATTTTAATATTATTTTAACATAATTTTAAGAAAAATTTATATCTAAATTATTATTATTTATTGTTCTGAAAGTTTAATTCAATATATAATCTAAGATTGTTTAAAAAATATAATTTTTTTTTTAGTGAACAATTTCTTATTTTTATTTTATTTCTTAATTTGGTAACGTAAATATTATATTTATGAACATACAATATCAGATTTTTAATACGATTGTATATGTATGTAATGTCATTTCTCATCAATTTCAGCCCTTATTTTTTATTTTATTAAATATTACATTATAATATAAATTATGAAATTTAATGAAATTATGAAATTATGAAGTTTAAAAATGTGTAATGTATGTATATTTTATATGTCAATATGTTAATTTTTAACATATTAACATTATTATAAAAGATTAACAGTCTTTGATAAAAATTGAAACGATTAAAAATTAAATGATGTAATTTGAAAAAATAATATTCAAAATTTTTTTAATTTATCATTACTACAAGTGTTACATGTATGTATGTGTTTTTATTGTTATATACTTTCTCAAATTTATTTAAATTTTTTATCTTTACTAAAATATAATTTATTGTTCACATAAATATAAATACATACATATGTAAATGTTACATGTATATATAATAATGATAAAATAATATTAAATTTATTAAAATGTTAATAAAATTTAATAAAATTATGAATATGTCTTTTTTGAGATACACACTTACGTACATGTCTATTATATATTGTAAGAATTTGAACATAACCTATTGAATGTTCATGACACGTGAGTATAGTTGCAAACTAAATGAGTTTATTCGTAATAAACAGGTATGTAGAAATACTGAGAAAATGTAATGTACATATGTATATTACTAAATTTCATTACTAAATGAAATACAAATAATGAATAATAATACATATAATGAATTAAACTATATAAAGAAATATTCATTATACATTATCTAATTGTAATGAAATTTTTAACTTCTTTTCACAGAATATTGTTAATATATATAATTTGTTAATAGATATGAAGGTGAGAAAGAAGAAACAGAAAATGAAAGGAATCATTTGTCTGAATTACTAAAAAGGATAGAAGAACGTAAACTAGAAAGAGCTGTTAAAAGTAATTGTCAAACACAGATAAATAGGTCTCAAAATACTCAAGACTTAAATTATGAAAAAAGAAAGAGAAAAGCAGAAAATCTTAGTGAATGTTCTATAGAAAATATTACTTTGAATGAAAATATACTAAGTGATGTTAAAGAAAAGAAAAAAATATGTGTTTCAGATCATAGAAAAAGCAAAAAGAAAAAGAATGCAGCTAAAGCATTGCAAAATGAAAATACAAACGATCAGAATAATGAAATATTTAATAAATCATTAGATTCAATTGAAACACAAGAAAAAATAGCAGACCAATATAGTGATTTTATAATTATGGGTACCAAAAGTAAACAAAAGAAGCATAAAGTTAAGAGAATTCTACCAGAATGGTTGAGTAATCCAAAATTAATGTCTATTGACTTAAATAGTGGCCCAACATTAGAAGAAATGAATTTAATTTTAGATATTAAACTTATTACAGCTTTAAGAGCTAATAATATTAACAAATTGTTTCCTGTTCAAGCTAATATGATATCTTGGCTATTAAAGTGCGATAAAGATAGAGAACAAAAGTGGTGGTTAAGAGATGCATGTATATCTGCTCCTACAGGCAGTGGTATGGAAGAACATAGTATTTATAACTGAAGTATTTACATTCTAGTTTTAATACTTCAGCATGTTCTATTAATACATCTGCAGTTGTTGAATTCTTATTTTGTAATTTCTTTTTTTGCTAGTAACTTACATTGAATACATTGTCTATTTGGAAATTACCAAATTTCATTGTCAAATAAAAGAGAGAAAATTGAGATAATTTCGTGATTTTAATTTTATAAAATATAAAAATATCAGCTGCAAATTTATTACTGAATAATATTAAATTTTGATAATAATTAATATTATTAAATTTTATTTTAATTAATATTATTAAATTTTATTTTAATTAATATTATTAAATTTTAATATTAAATTTAATAATCTTTATTTAATAAAAAATTATAAAATTATATTCTTTTACAACAAATTTATTTTATCTTAATAAATTAAAGTTTTATGTTTAAAAATGTTAATTTGATTTTCTTTGTAGGTAAAACTTTAGCATATGTTTTACCTATAGTTCAAATATTACAGTCTCGATTAGTTCCAAAAATACGTTGTTTAGTTGTTGCACCTGTACAAGAATTGGCTGCACAAATTTACAAAGTAATGATTACATATATTTCACATACAAATTTAAGAGTTGGTTTACTTTCTGGTGCATCATCATTTTATGAAGAACAAAGAAGCATTCTGAGAGAGAGTATATAATTATTTTAAGAAGATAATTTTATTTGTATAATTAATAAAATATAAAATATTTTCTATAATTATTATTTTCAGATGCTAGAGGAAAATATATATCTATAGTGGATATAGTGATTGCCACACCTGGACGATTAATAAATCATATATTAAAAACATCAGGATTTTCATTGGATGATCTTAGATTTCTTGTTATTGATGAAGCAGATAAAGCTGTAGATTGGTTAGAATATCTTCCTGAACCTCATTATCGAACTCCACGATTAACACTTTTCAACTTATGTTCTAGGTTAGTTTTGACTATAATTTAAACTGATAATATTTATTTTGTATATGATAATCATTTATTAGAATTAACCTTCAAATGGTGGGTAGCCCAATAATTAACTATGTAGTGGATATTAATATTTATTTTTTTGCTTTCAATTGTTATCTAACTTATAGAAAGATAAATTTACTTATAGTATATAAATTGACGAATTTTAAGAATATTTAGAATATTTATATTTATCTTTGTCTTATCACTTTAAAAAGATAGAATAATTATTTATATAAACTGGTCTGAATCCAGAATCTGCCAGACGAAGGTTAATATGCAAGTACATTATCTAATATTAAACTTATAGTAATTTTTTAATTTTTAAATAGTAAAATTCCAGCTCAAAAATTGCTATTCAGTGCAACATTATCACAAGATCCTGAAAAGCTTAGTCGCTTCGGACTTTTTCAACCAATATTATTCACATCTGTTTTGGTGACAGGCAAAGATGATAATGTAAATTTAGATAAAGAAGTGGGTAATTTTATTGGCCGTTATACAAGCCCTGAAGAATTAAAAGAAGAAGCAGTAGAATGCGAAGCAGAATATAAACCAGTAGCTTTATATCAGCTAATAATCAGAAATAGTATAATTTCCAAAATATTAGTATTTACAAATTCTGGGAAAACTGCTCATAGATTAACTATTTTGCTTCAGTCATTTTTATCTAAAAAAGATATAGTAGTCGGAGAACTTTCTGCACAATTCGCTTCAAAGGACCGTGAGGATGTACTTACAAAATTTATAACTGAAAAAATTCAAATGTACGTTATGTTTATTGTTTATTAAAATCTAATTTTCAATAACTTTATGAATTTTTGTTATAACTTTATTATATTTTCAGACTCGTATGTTCAGATGCATTAGCAAGAGGTGTTGATATTCCAAATGTACGATTAGTAATATCTTATGATCTTCCTAAACATATTAATGGTTATATTCATAGAGCAGGAAGAACAGGACGTGCAGGTAAATCCGGCACTGCAATATCTATTCTAATACCTAAACAAGTTCGAATATTTAAACATATGTTGAATAATGCACATAAAGTAGTACCACATGTTGAAAAATTGGAACTAAGTTCTGTTGTAAATGAAATTGATTACTTAAGTCATATTGATAAATTAAAACATGTTCTTCAAATAGAAAAACAAAATAACTTATTACGTGCAAAATCTGTTAAACGAATTTGTTCAATAAATGTATAATGGAAACAGTTATTTTTTGTACAAATATTGCAAAATAAATAAAATATAGTTTAATTGAAAATTTACTTGTAATTAAAAAATTATATTGTCCAACAAATCAAGACCACAGACGGAATATAGAATAAATTCTCATTTTACAGAACTCGATATATGTTTTGAAATATCAGTTATGTAAAAATTTGAAAATTTTGTTATACCCTCTGCAATTTAAGGTATGAGTGTAGAAATTATGTTTAATCCATTAAACAGAGGATAGACATAGAATTTTGTAGTAACTTTTTATTTGTTGAATTTTCAAAACAAAGTGCTAATTGAATACATAATTCAATATATCCATTTTAAATGTACATATTATTATTATTTTATGAAATATTACTTCATTTAAAGAAATAAAAGAAACTTTAATGTTTATTTTTAGCATTATACATACATTTTATAAAATTATTTTATTTATGATTTATAGATGATAAGCAAATTGTATAATGAAATGAAAGATTACGCAATGAAATACACAATTTAAAAAAAATAAAACAGGAGCTAGGATCAAAGATTCTATATTGTGAGGCCATATTTGTGGAATTCATTATGAATAAAATAAAATTCCGTAATATTTTAAAAAATATAAAAATTTAGGTAGAGAAATTGCAAATGCTAGTGATCTATTATTTTCAACAATATGATCAACATAATGATCTAAAACATTCTTTTCATGTTTATAATATATATATAATGTACTCAAGTTATTAAAAGCACCAATATAGTCACTAGATCTTAATGTTACTAAAATATTTGTGGAAAGAATTCAAGATTAATTTGAAAAATTAAATATAGGAAAATATTTCAGAATTAGACTTATGAAATCAATACCAAAATAATTACAAACTCATATAACAAAATAACTGTTATAAGTGTAAAAAATTGCACAACAATTTTGTATAAATAAATAATTTTAATATGTGTATGCTTAATTTTATATTAGCAAAATACCAGTATTTTGATATTTTCAATTAAATATAAACAAACAATGTTATATAAAACATTTTTCTGAACTAAATGAATAAATATAAATGAATGAATAAATATATATTATATTTTTACATTCAAATATGTATAATCTTTATGCATTTTTCGGCAATTTTCGTTACTAAGATAAGTGTAAATTCAATTTTGTTTTGAGTAACTGTATAAATATTTTAGAAATAATAAATTTAAAGTTGAATAAGACAACACTTTTATTTAGATATATGTACATATACATATTTATGTAATCATGAAATAAATTTTTAAGAAATTCTATCATTAATATCTATTATAAATACCAATTGTTAAAACTAATATCAGTTTGAAAACTTCGAGTGGTACCTTGATTTATAGTATGGCCGAGATACCACGTAATTTTCGAAAAGAAAACTTATGGCTCTGGCTGGCTTATTAAAACTGAGGATCAGATCACTCAAAAGTTATGTCCGTGTGCTAATAGTGTACAGAGTGCCATAGTTCATGTGGCATTCTCTCAAGGGAAGTTTCTGAAAGTATTTAAACGAAACACATTTCGCGCGAAATTAACAAATCATGTCAACGATATTACCTTATTTGGAGTCCAAAAATCGATAGGAAAGAAAACGAGGAAATTTTTCTCAATTTTCCATCGGCTCAGGATAAGGGAGAAATTATCTGATTCCGGTAGATTATCTGATCGCTTAGATTCTGTGATCTCCAGATTTCTGAACATTCTGAATACCATTCCGATAGTCTGAGAGTAACAATGCATTTAAGTTGAAGGAATAGTCTTTTTATAGTCAGCGTGCAGTAGGTAGTATAATTTGCTGTTGTTTCGTTGCACGGAATCAGATACGTGGGAGTCTTCGTGGTGTTTGCATAGAAATTACTACTTTTGAAAAAATATTTTTGAGAATACTGATTAATTTTTCATTACAGTGAACTTCGTTTCATTCTCTCTTCAATAGGAAATACATAAATGGTATACATAAATGGTACTTACATACACATATACCAAAAACCTTCGCGGATTCCTAAAGTTCGAAATTCTCATAACATCATTACATTCTAAAGGAGACTTCCGAAGTATGAGCACACCAAGAAGACACGCTAATTGTAAAATAATTTCGTGTTAATTTAATCAACGTGCTTAATCAAGGACAAAACTTGTCGATGCTGTACTTCCACTAAATATGTACTTCCACTAGTCAGCTAATCATTTTCTTGATATTCGCGAATCCTTCGCCAATCATTCGAAATTGGAATTTGGAACGATCAGTTGCGCGCCTATTTTTCGAGACGCATTTTAAAATTAATTGTCTAATTGTAAGATTAATTTGACGGACAATATCATAACTTTGTGGTAAACGTTCAGTTCGCACTGCTACAAACAGTTATATGAAGTCATAGTCTTCGTTCGGTTTCGTGTATCTTAATAATGTTAAGATACTATTCTCGCTTATTAAGATACATAAAAGGATTTATTAAGATGTTTGAATGAATATCATTGTTATTAAATATTGCATAGAAGTTAAAAAAATTTGATTAAAATCTATACTATACACAAAATATATACTATATATACTATACACAATCTTCGAGGTTAATTTGACATTAATTGCCAAATGAAATGCATATAATGAATTATTATAAATGAATATATTAAAATGTACATTACATTACATTACATTATTCATGTAATTATTATTATATTAAAATTAATTATAATTAAAATTATTATTGTATTATATTAAAATGTACCATTAAATAAGAATTTGATAAAAAATAATATTTTTGAAAATTTTTAAAAATATTTTATGTACTGAAGAGAGAATTAAAATATTATTTAGTTTTGTCAGATGATTTTATACATTTGGAAAAGCAAAGTCCGCAAAATTGAGCATGATTTTCAAGATCAAATTTTTTGTTGCATGATATTCTACTCGTTGCAAGAATAAAAAATCTTAAAAGGACCATAGATTGAAATAATATTTTAGGAAATAATGTTAAGTTTTCAACTGATTTTATTTATAGTATTGTAATAATATATTAAATAAATAAACATATATTATAAAAAAACATGTATATATTTTATATACATTTGTATATATTTTGTATACGTTTTGTATACTTGTATATATTTTGTATACATTTTGTAGTCAGAGAAAGTTTATATAGCACGCTATTGATAAAATTGATGGGAATTTTCTTCCATGTGAGCATGTTCTTTAGCATGTAGAGACTTGTGTCTATAAGAAGTTTTCAAATCGTCGTGATTTCCAATGGTTGGATTGATAGTTCAATGATCTACAATTGCTACATTAAATCTTCACTTGCATGCTTTGGCATAAGTTATTGCTGTGCTTATTGCAAGTGAACTTGTAAAAAAAATCTCATCAACAAAGTATTTCGTACAAGCCCTATAATATACAGCAATCAAAAAAATAATATATGAAAAAAGCCTATATTATTTATATTATTAAAAGATTTATCGTATGTAACAATTTCATAGAATGAATTACCTTGCTAGCATCGTTGAATACTAAGAAAGTTACAATAAAATTCTTGTCTTATGGAAAATATATTGTTCACAGATGAGAATAGATTTTTCAGAAACAACACTTTCATTCATCAAATCTTCATATTATATTCTCAATCACCATGTTATAATATCGAGATTTAATCAGAACTATAATATTATTTTTGTTAATTCGCTATTAATTATTTACTCATTCACTTTTTTGCTTTTCACTTCTCGCATTTGGAAATCGCTTGTAAGCTAATATACTCTATGTCTGACTTTGATATGTAAACAAAGTTTAAAGATAAGGTTTAAAGATATATAAAAAATATAGTTTAAAAATTAAAATAATGAAAATAATTGTGCGCTCATAAGTATGTACATATATAGATAATGATGTTATTTTTTATTATATTTTTTGATGATATTTTTGATCATAGATAGTAATATTATTTTTGATCATATCTGACTTAAAAATGTAAATAAAATTATTTTAACAAACATCTTTTTTGAAAAGAACAACTTATTTACAACTCATATTTCTTTTGAAAACTTTTTACATTTACGATAAATAGAATATAACAAAAAAAATTTGAAAATCATGCTCAAAGTCAATTTTGTAGTCACTTTTTGATACAGATAGATATATTTCTACATTGTATGTACAGGATGTTCTATCTCATTTTGACACTTTGATTGTTTAGCTATTATTAGCGAAAAATTTTTATATTTTAAAATTTTAATTTTTATAAATTGGATGATATCGAGAAGAACATATTAGGACAGTTTTAACAATAAATCTGTAAAATCTATGGTATGAAAAACGGAGAGAGACAGAAGCAGTATGTTCATACTATCCTTGCATAGATTTTATGAAATTAAAGTTAAAATATCTTTTAAACTATTAATTTTTTGACATAAATAGGTTGATACTTTTTTTTATAGAAAATAAAAAACTACATCGATTGATACATAAAAAAATTAATTTATTAAAAAAAACAGAATTGGCAAAACAGAATAATCTTTACGCGTCCATCCGCAAAAAAACTAAACACAATAAATTCTTCTCGATACCATTCGATTTTCATATAAAAATTTTTCGTTAATAATAAACACGCAATCAAGACGTCAAAATCTAATAAAATACCTAGTATATTCGTCTGTTAAGCCATCTATTTAAAATAAGCAAATGACACTTGGGTTTAGTTTAATGAGTCAGTAAAAAATCAGAGTTATCATTATGAATGTTTAGTTAGTTATTTAGTTAATTATTTAAAGCTACGAAGTATAATTTTTAATCTTTTTGCACAATCTTTTTAGAAACTCGTAGACAGATTGATTACCCTGATGAAAATGATTAAGAACATGATTAAAAATATAACTTATAGACTTTTTAAATTTTAAAAACTTTAGAAATAGATTTTAAATTATATATAAGATGATATAGGTTTTTAAAATCTGTTACATTTTGTTCAATAGTCGATGTTTGCTGCTAGCAAGGGAACATGTCGAAGTGTCAATCACCGATTTTGATGAATTACACAAATATTCGAAAAAATATTTGATACGTATTTTTTTTTGTCAGCAATCGTTCATGTTAAAGAGATGTAAAGTATCCTCAAACCTCCGGACTTTATTTCATCAAAGAAATTACTGAAGATACAGTTTTTGTGCAAATTAATGAAATTAGTGTGAATTTTAACAACGAATTTAATGTATACCATTGCGAAAAAACCATCTATCAAAACAATATATTTAAAAAACCGTGTTTTTTATAATATTTTTTACAAATAAATTAAGTTAATTTTCTTAAATATGCTTATAGAAAGTATGTATTCAAACTATATATTCAATTATGGATAAATTGGAATCTTGATTTTTGCATTATAAAAAAATTCATTATTCTCAAAACTTTCTCGCTGGACGTGCAAAGCAGAATATAAATGCGAATAACTAAACGGATACTTCACTTTTACAAATAAATATTGAATGTCAATAACGGTAACAAAAATGTATGAGGAAGAAGTACACTTATCAAAGTTCGACAGGATAACACTATTGGAACTTTGGAAAAACTAAACTAACTTTGGAAAATAAGCACATACCAATTTCGCAAAAATTAAACGTGTTTCACTGGATTATGCAGAGGAAGATTATGCTAAAATTTGAAGTCAATAGATGAAAATTACATTAAAATTACTCTAAAAGATATTTATAACGCGAAAAAGCTCACTCAAATTGTATTAATCAGAGCGTGTCACAATGTTTATTGCCTGCTATGATTATGATTAGAA